ACTTCTACTCGCGCTTCTCCCCCTCGCCGCTCTCCATGAAGCAGTTTCTGGACTTCGGTGAGTCCTCGGCCGCGCCGCCCTCCCCCGACCCTGCCCGCGCTGCCGCTCGGCGCTGCGCTCTTGGCTCCGCTTCCCTCTGGGGCAGCGGAGCACAGTTGGCTCCTTCCCCGAGACTGGAACTGGGACGAGGTTGAAATCCAGCGCAAAGCTCAGCGGAGTAGTGGGTGTTTTTCTGCAGACCCTGCAGCGCTGGGGAGGGCGTGGGGACAGCTGTAACAGCTGGTTGTGTTAGAGCAGTGACTCAGACAGGTGGGACTGGTTAAGCCTTTTGCAAGCTGGCAGCATCCAGCCTTTCAACGTCTGCCCCAAACACATGAAACCTGTAACCTCAGCTGGCACCGACGGGCCAAACCAATCATCACTTCTCAGTCACACCTCTCTGTGCCTTACAGAAACAACTTACTCAAACTCTGCTGGTTTAGAAGGAATGTGAGAGAAGGAGCAGGATGCAGACACCTAGAGCCATCCTGGAGGATCTGTAATCTAGCCTTGAAAATGAGTAAATCAGTAACAGGATACTCAGCCTTACTCTCTGCACTAAGCCCACCCATAGCGTTTCCAGGTTTGGTTGTCTGCTTGGAAACAAAAGGGATTACAGGAGTTGCTCTGATTTGCTTCAGAGCAAAGACCACACAGAGGAAGGTTATCTAAGTCCCACTGAGAAACCTTTTCAAAACCTGAGGTTGCAGCCATTCTGTAACAGACTGGTTTTGTACCCAAGGCACTCTGCTATGCATAAACATTTGTTGTTCATAGTTGCATTGCTTCTTACGTTTTTGTCAGTAAAATGTAACTGAGAACTAACCCAAGAACACCAGGCTTTGTATAGGTTGGGAGACTTACAAAGAAAACTCTCTCTTGACTCTCTGCTGTCACTTCATAGAATCACAGAATTTAAGGGTTGGAATGGACCTTACAGATCATCTAGTCCCAATCCCTGCCCTGGGCAGGGACACCTCCCCACTAGATCAGGTTGCTCAAGGCCTCATCCAACCTGGTCTTGAACATCACCAGGGTCAGGGCAGCCACCACATCCCTGGGCAACCTGTGCCAGTGTCTCACCACCTCATCCATCTATTCAACTTCTCATTTATGCCAATGACACGTACCCAACATTTAAACCTCCAGATTCACACAGGTATCATGTGTTCTGTTGCTATCATACTTTTAAGCAAAGAATCTTGCAATTCACACTTTGCTTTGACTCCTATTATTTTACCATTAAATACTGAAAAAATAATACCTTAAAATCAGTGTTTCTTTTCAAGGCACACTATTTCCTTGTGTCAGAAAAGACAGGCTACTTTTTTTCTGTTAGTATCTGAACAAAAGGTAAAAATAATCTTGAAAACCTTTCAAAATTTTGTTTTTCCACTTTTGATTAAGGCTGTAATCACAAATAGTGCAAAAAACCCAAAACATCTGATGGTGTTTTCACTAGGGATTTTTTGGCCCCTTTAGCTAGAGTGAGAGCAGTCAAAGAGGGAATCAATGCCAACTTAAAAAAGGAAATCTTCCATAAGCAAATATAAGCCTGGATCACATAACATCAGCCACATCTTGGGTTATAAACCCACAGTATTTCCTTTAGGAGTCTTATTCTTTGCCTAGGTAGACTGTAGCTGCAGAGGGAAAGTCATTTGCCTGTTCAATGAGGTCCTGCCCTAAACTGCCTTCCATATTTGACCCAGGGTTACAAAGGTACAGCCTCCACATACAAGAACTGTTTGTGGAATGGAATTTGTGGAAGATTTTATTTACATTCTAATACCTTCAATCTTACCTGTCCATGGAATTTTACCCAGGAAAAGGGAAAGGCCAGTAACAGTCATGCCTGACATGCAGTCTGACTAGGGAGAAGACTGAAAGGTTTCTGGGCAGAGGTCATATGTAGACAACACATAATACTGGTTGAGTGCCACTGGGGAGGAATTTCTTATATGCTATTGATTTTTTTATTAAGCTAACTGTTGTTTCATCAAGTAACATGATTTCATCAGTGTAGTTTATGGCATATCCCAGTGTGGATGCTTTAAACTAAATGATTCCATTTCAATTTGGTAAAGATTTTTCCTGTTGAAGACACTCCCAATCTTCCACTTTTTTTCCCAAGTCCTTTCCTTTAATCTTCTTCCCCAGCTCCCCCTTTTTAAATGGAAAGAGAGAACTGGGCAGTAACACCAGATTAATTTTTAGTAGTTACCTGTTGTGAAACACCAAGCCTGAGGTATGTACTTCACTGCAGCAGATAAATAGGTTAGTTAGTTCAGTGCTGTTTACATGACACTCTTGAAGTCTAGAACCAAGTGTGGCTGAGAATGAAGTGCAGCATTTCTTAGCCTCTTCCCCACTCTGCACACTCTTTTCTCATCCAGTAAAAGAAGCTTTGTGGGAGTAAATTTAGGTCTTGATTTTAATAACCACTATAAGTGCCACCCACGCAGATGACACTTGTTCTTCTAAAAGGACAGGTTGGTTATCAACAGGTGCAGTATATTCACTTCTAGCTTCTAAAAATGTAAAAAATGAAACAGTAAACATGTGGGAGAACTACTGTCCTGATGACTAAGCACAGTTATCTGCCCTACTTTCATTTTTTTCTCAATATTCATGTGAATTCATTCATGTCTTCTGTTCCTGTCTGACAGTGAACTTAAGCTGCAACAGATTTAGTTGAAAATGAGATAAATACTGCAGAATTTGTTTTCTGAAAGTGTTCCAGTATGAGTTATAGTGATCAAAAGCAGGGTGCATGATACTTTCTCAAGCATCTCTCCCATAATAGTTTCCTATACTGGTTTCATTTGCCTCTCTGACATGCTCAGAATGACATAGATCAGTACTGGTTAGAGTCAATGCTGTGAATAATATACATGGCTAGAAGCTATGTTTAAAGTTGAATAAAATGGGTCTGCAACTATTGCAGTAGTTTCTCTTTATAAACTGAAGAGTCTTGTTACCACAACACGGCTGGTAGGTTTCAGTATGAGATTGGTTCTGAAACACAAATGGGCTGCTGAAAGACACACTGGCTTACCAGCCTGGCTGAGTCAACTTTCAAACCAAGGCACAGGCCTCTCATGCAAGAAAGTAAAAGTGTGTGTAGTTCTCTGCCATAAGTATTGACTTTATTCTGATGTCATATATTTATTTTGGTCTTAGGATCTGAAAATGCTTGTGAAAAGACTTCATTTATGTTCCTGCGACAAGAGTTGCCTGTGAGACTGGCAAACATAATGAAGGAGATCAGCCTGCTTCCAGACAACCTCCTGAGAACACCCTCAGTTCAGCTGGTGCAGAGCTGGTAAGACCAGTGACATTCCATACCTTTAAGCGTGACCTTCTGCATATAAATATGTACACAGGTTGGAGGAACTCATTTTCTTCCACTGAAAGAACATTTCATGGGGTCGTTACATGAACATTCCTTGTTTAGACTGATATTAAATATCCCAATGTGATATAGATCAGAAATTAAATTTACAGATTTGGAAAAAAAACCCACCCGTTAGGAGCAATTAGAGAACCCATAAGGGAATTAAAAATCATTAAGTATTGCAGACAGTGATGTAGGAGAATTCAAAAATTATAAATAGTTTTTTTGGGGTAAGAACAAAAATCCACCAGAACAATGTTTAATAGAGGACTTAACTAAAATTGAAGAAGCTAGTGGAAGAAACCAACACAAGCAGGCTAAGACCCAAAATGCTTGCAAAGTATACTAGAAACCATTTACAAGACAGGTTATTGCAGATCGAGAGTGAAGGTGTAGAAAACATGAAGAAACAGCAATAGGAAGCTCCCAAAGCCAAAACATACAAATTAATAGAAAGTAAAAAAGGCATTCTTTGAAAAGTAAAATTTACTTTCATGTAAGGAACTTTCACATAAGTATAAACATGTAAGATGAAAGCAAAACAAAGAGATTGCTTGGCAACTGCTGAAGGCACATGGGTTTCTACAAAGGCTTTTAATGCTAAGAGAACAGAAAATCTGCTAGTGAATAAGTGGGATTGATTAGATGACTGAATATAAAAAGAGCTATCAATGAAGATGAAGGGTCTTAATGAAACACAAATGCTTACATTCTCATGATACTAAATGACATTGATCAAATGGGAAATGAATTCCACTTGGACAAATGCGAAGTAGAGCACAGGGAGGGACCTCCTCTCCCTGTATGCTTGTTTGCTTACAATGGAAAAAGAATTTTGATGCTACTGGGAATATTTTTCTGACTATGTCAGTTGATGGGCAAGAAGGAAAATAGTGTTATGAACTAAGTAACAATTGGGGAGGAATATAATTGTATGACTGTGTTAGCCCATTATTCCTCTGAATTGTGTGCAGTTTGAGTAACTCCATCCTGAACTGAAAAGACCAAGAGGGATAATCAGAGGGTTGGAACAATTTCTACGTGAGGAGAAATCAAATAGAATTCTTCAGCTTGGGAAATACACATCTAAGGAAAGAGATGGCAGAAATACTTAAATCATGAACAAGCTGGGAAGATTTTTCTAATAACAGGAACTCACTGGGGCTGCAAATAAGTGACCACCTACTGGGTTTAAAACGCAAAGATGATCTTTTATGCATTCTAATTAAATTGTGGAATTCATTGCTCTGGAAATTTTGGAAGAAAACATCATGAATAGATTCAAAAGAATCTAATAAAATTCACAATGGGATGTATCAAATACCAGGATTTGGAAACAAGCAACCTTGGAAGACCATAAATTGCTAACCAGAGAGATCTGGGGAGGCATATTAGAATTGTTTTTTGTCCTGTTTTTTTCGTTGAAAGGTATGTGCAAAGTCTTCAGGAGATCCTTGACTTTAAGGACAAAAGCTCAGAAGATTCGGGGGCTATTCATAGGTAAGGGTTTGCTGTCACATGCATTAATATTTTGTTAATATGTGGAAGAACTGTGAAGGAAACAATAGCTTAGGAAGAATTTCACCTATCTCAAGTCTGTATATAAGAACTGCAGTAATGTCACCCCCTGTCCCTGAAAGGAGGGGACATTAAAACAGGAAACAAAGCACTTGGACATCATGTCATTCTGTGGAGTGACTTTGGTCAGTGTTGGCTGAGCACAACTCCCATTTGACAGGAATGGGATCTTCTGCATGGAAACGGTAGGCATGGTTTTCTCTTTCTCTTGGCAGTAATCAAGATAATGAAGAAACAATAATTTTATAAATAGTCAAGATAGTTGATTACTGACTGTTTCAATGAAATATGCTGTAAATACTGTCCTGTCTTCTTCCTGCAATAGACAGACCTGTGATATTGTTGTATGTAAGAGTCTTAGTTTTGTAAGCAGGTCTCTGTTTGCCAGTGTCAAATTCCCTTGGAAGTGAAATGCTAACAGTGTATCAATTTTAGTTTCACAGATACCGTGATAAAGATCAGGAATCGCCACAACAATGTAATTCCTACGATGGCTCAAGGAGTAATAGAGTACAAGGAGAGTTTTGGCATTGATCCAGTGACCTCGCAGAACGTGCAGTATTTCTTAGACCGTTTCTACATGAGTCGCATTTCAATCAGAATGCTCCTTAACCAGCACTGTGAGTGCCAGTGCTGAAAGGAGGGGAGATGATACCTCTCCTACAGCACTGTATTTTCCTTTCGTTTTGAACTGCTTAATATGTACTGAAATGCTACTTAGGAGTGCACTATTTGCATTGCTGTTTATATGCTCATTATTAATACAATTCCTAAAATGTTTATTAATAGTAGGCATTCTAGTATGGTGAAGACTGGAATTATAGATTGCCTACAATACATATTATATGTATATATATATACATGTTTTTATTTAGCAAAACTGAAGACACTAAAATTATACTGGGTATAAAATGATATTTTCTTTTTGGCAGCTTTACTGTTTGGTGGGAAGATTAATCCAGCTCATCCAAAACACATTGGAAGCATCGATCCTAACTGCAATGTTGTTGAAGTTATTAGAGGTAAATTCAGCAGATAAGAGCAAGAATCCTGAAAATTTACATGAATGCCTATACTAACAGCCAGTGCACATACTGATATTTATATGCTGTTTAGTTCTTTGCTACCTGGAGCAGAAGTTTCATTTAAAGTCTAACACAGTTTTGTATCATTTTCCTATAGAACCATTTTTTGAGGGAAAATACAAAAATCTCCCTGACTGGCAGGGCACAGTACTTTTAAATTTTTGTTTTTCTTTTTGGCAAACTGTAAATGAGAAAAAAAAAAAGTGGGAGGGGGAAATGTAACTTCCTGTGTTTTTCTTATAGATGGCTATGAAAGTGCCAAGAGACTTTGTGATTTATATTACATGAGTTCTCCAGAACTCATCCTGCAAGAGTTGAATGGTAGGTGAATGTGGGTGAGGCAGGTTCCTGAACAGAGTGATGGTTTCTAAAGTAGCTGGTGATGAAATATACTCCTTCTGCTTTTCATCTAGTTAATGTATTCTCTATATCAACTGTCATAAATATTTGGGTTTTTTCAAATCTGGCAGAAGACTTTCCCTATTAATTTCCCCTTTAATTAGAAAACTGAAATCAGTAGAAAAGCTTTTGACACTCCAGCTGTTGATATAACAAATCTTTAACAGCCTCCTTCTCTCCCTAAGATTTCACCCTACACTGTTGCATCTCACCCTTTCTGCATTTTTTGTGACAATTTAAAAATTTATAGTAAACATTCCATTCCATCTCCCTGAGAACCTCCTCATAGGTATTAGAAAGCAACTATTTATTACGTGTCCTAATCAGTGATGCCACAGTGGGTTTTAAGATTAATTTCTAAAGCAATAGGACATTTGAAAATCTTGAGTATGACTTTTGATTAACATAAAGATTTTCAAAAGATTTCTGTTCAAATTTTCCTTCTCTTGTAAATTTTCTCAACAGTACAAATTTACACTTTGAATTACTGTGGGAATGAATAAAAGATACTTCATTTGCTATTTAGTTATTTAGACTCTCTTTTCTCCAGCTAAATCACCAGGACAGCCCATGCAAGTGGTGTATGTGCCATCACATCTCTATCACATGGTTTTTGAACTTTTCAAGGTCTGTGTACTTATCATTACACAATTCCTTTATATATCTTCACTTAGAGAGATTGTATTGGTTTGACTCTTTGAACCAATTCTAGATAGCAGTGTGACTTTGCAAGTGCAAACTTCTTGCTATTTGAGACTGCAGGGACACAGCTACACTGTACTATTTAAACAGTAATTGCATGAGAAATTAAGAGCTTTGGAAGATGTATCTTTTTTGCCTAACCACTGAATTCATCTGACATCTTTCAAGTAATCAGCTTAAATCTGAAGAATACATGAAGACATTAGTTAATAAAACAAGTAAGAGTAAGACACAATTTTGGGGATATCTTCAAATCTGGTAAAATGTGTAACAGGTTCCATAGAGCTTTCCTCTTGCAGTTCAGTCCTAGACTTCTCTTGATCTTTGTGTCACAGTGCATGTACTATGCATTATAAAAAATTCTAGAACTAAAATCCCTAGATAGAACAGATGTTTGTTATAAAAACATTAAGTATTTGAAGTCTGTGTATTCGAATAAACTGTATAAATACTGATACTGAATAAACCAGAGATACAAAAAAGTTGTAAAACAATACACATTTGTTTGGATTCTGAAATAATGTGATAAATGAATTCTCCTAAACTGATGTTTTAAGATAATACACAAAGTACTAAGAATAGGATTTAAGTTGCACTTTAAAATTGCAGAATGCAATGAGAGCCACCATGGAACATAATGCTGATCACTGCATTTATCCTGCAATTCATGTACACGTCACGTTGGGAAATGAGGATTTAACTGTGAAGGTACCCACTTTGTTTTACTATTTTGAAGGTTATTTTGATTAACATTTTAGTCCCTGTAGTAGGCAGCATATTACTAACTATACTGTTGATCTGGGCCCATCAATAGATTGTATGTGATGATGTGTGTAAGTAACAAGACCATTATGGAATTTCACATAGTACATCAGTAGGAAGTTCACACAGAGGCTGCACAGTCACACTGAAGGCTCTGCAATAGCATCCTTTGCTTTTGTGGTCTTGCCTAGCTTGTAACCAGCCAAGGGTAAAAATGAAATAGCATCTTTATACAATTGCAACATCAGCATTTTGTGACAATGACAGAACTGTACAGATGTGAAACAACTGAAGAAAGGGAAATAAATATTGTGCACCCCCTGCAAATCAAACCTGCCTGAAGTACAGTTTGAAGTTTCTTCTTTTTCTGTACAACATCCGTATTGGATTTCAAAGACCAACTGCAAGCATTGGATTTTTCATAGGTTTAATTAAACCATAGTAAAACAACTCCTATGACTTACTCCTTCAGTAATAGATTTAGTAAACTGTATTTAACTGGCAGTATTCCTGAAGAATAATGATTAAAAAGAGAGGGAACCTGGCATTTTCTCAAAGGTAGATAAATAGTGACTTCAGACAAAAGTGAGTTATGAACAAGATAAAAGTAGTGCACAATTTAAGTGGAATTTTCTTGCTTCCAAAAGGTTACAAATGCTTCTTATGGTAATACTGTTGTTAATAGTTTGGATAAGGGATGAAAGGGAAGGATTCATCTCTCTGGGCATTGCTGGAGATGAGAATTAAAGAAAACCTACGACTTCCTATGGACAACTTCATATCATGTTTTACCTGAACTTTTTCTGGATTATTGTTTGAGAGAAGCTTTCTTTTACAAAAGCCTATTCAGGGACATAATGCTACATGGTCCTTCCTGTTCCAGATGAGCGATCGTGGTGGTGGTGTTCCTATGAGGAAGATAGACAGACTGTTCAACTACATGTATTCAACAGCACCACGTCCTCGTGTTGAGACCTCACGAGCTACACCTTTGGTATGCAAATCTTTTATACCTTAGCATCTTGGATATGTTTAATTGTCACAAAAGAAACCATTAGCCAAAGCTATGAAGTACTGATTTTATAGATACAACTATTGCCATTTGAATGTTACAGCTTAATTCAAGTAGTTTTCTGAAAATAACTGGGAAATTGCATAAAGTACTAAAAATTAAGTAAACTTGTTCAATATTCTGGTTTTCTCTACTAAATCTAAAGATCAGCTACCTCAAACATGACACTCAGCTATGCTGTGTGAGGTGAGGACAGGACTCTTGAAGTTCTTTTGTAGCTACTGAATGAAAGGAAAAATAATTATAGCAATGACTTTGGATCAACCATAGGTCACTTGTACTGTGTAGTCAATTCTACCATCCCATAGCAAGGATGAAGTTACATAGATGTGACAGGGCATATGAAGAATCTACTTTGGTCTTGTGTGAATGAATAGATGCATGAGAAATAAAGCCTAAGCGCTCAGTCATAATCGCCCAACAGCTTTCCTGAATTTATTGTCCCACATTGCATCATTTAAAAATACATATATATATATATATATAGTGTTCTGCATCTAGATGACTCTGCAACTCACCAAACACTAGACCTTTCCAGAGAAGTGTTATGTATGCTGATTGAGAGGTTACCTCTAAAATGTAGTAGATAAAAAAACCTGTACTTAACTCTCCAGGGCTGTGTCATGCTACTGCACCCAGGGCTTGATAGAAGTTTAGTGTAAGCTACAAATTCATAGACTATGCTTCTTGAACCTTTTTTATATATACTGGTAAAATGTATTTGACTTAAGTACTCAGTGTGCTTTAGATTAGTAGCTCTATGAGGTGTAACACAGACATAGACAGTTTTATCTAATAGTGTCATCTCCTCTTGAAAAAGCTACCACACAAGAAGTGTTATCTAGCAGCTCTGCCTGACAAAGGAATAAAAGTTTTCTCACAATCATCCAAGCATTCTTCTGGTTTTGGGGTGTATAATGGTTTGGGCAGGGCATAATAGTCAACATTTGAACCCTTACTGACAAACATCATGCTTAGTTTGTCTATTTACCTATTGAGTAATACAAAACAGGATTGAGTAATACAAAACAGGAAACACCACTGACTGATGCAATTAATGGAAATATACTTTTCTCCTGGATCAGGCTGGATTTGGTTATGGCTTACCCATTTCACGTCTGTATGCACAGTACTTCCAAGGAGACCTGAAACTCTATTCCTTAGAAGGCTATGGTACAGATGCAGTTATTTACATAAAGGTATGATGTAACCCATCACCATTTTTCATTTATCAGCAACTCTAATCTAAACTGCTAATGGAACTCCTTGTTCTATTACTGTAACTTGAATTGAAAAGAATCATCAGCTACAGTCTTCTCTCCTTACAGGCCTTATCAACAGAATCAATTGAAAGACTCCCTGTGTATAACAAGGCAGCCTGGAAGCATTATAAAGGAAACCACGAAGCAGATGATTGGTGTGTCCCAAGCAGTGAGCCAAAGGACATGACCACTTTTCGCAGCATATAGCTTTTTCCTCAGCAGTTCCTAAGAAGCAGGCTTATCTGGAAAGGGAATTTAAAAGACCTGATTTATAGCAAGATGCTGAACCACATTTGCTACGTGAAATAATTTTAAGTGGGGTTAACAAAAGGTTTAATGTAATCACTCTTTTCTGAAATTAAAAAACCCTACCAAAACTCAAGCAAACCCCCAAACCTACAAACTTTTAACTCTTTTAAGGTCACATGTAATTTGTTTCACTTTCTATTTATGATTACTTTCAGTGGTTAAGTCAAAGGAGCAGTATTTCAGGTTTTATAGGGATTAGTGGCATCTGTATCACATCTGGTGAGGAATGTATTTATTCATGTAATTACAAAATTGTTTTAATAGAAAAACTATTGGAAAAGCTCACCAGAACACTTACAATTATTATACAATCTTACAGATCAATGGAAAACTCTGGTAAGAAATAGAGAAGCTCACTGCTATCCCTTTGCACCTGTGTATCACTTTCTATTCTTTTATCTTAAGCATGCTGAAGCCTAATTTTGCAAAGCTGGATACCTTGCTTACATCAAGGATTTTTGCAGCTGTAGAAATCACACTTACCTCTATAGGGATAAAAAAATTAAGTCGTCAGTTTTAGCTGCTGCTACTGGTATAATGTATCTCAGGTATGTGTCATTGGTCATATTTCTTGGTTGGAATGTGAATATATATAATACATGTGAGAAACTTACCTTGCCCTGATCATTGTAAATTAGCAAATAGTGTTGGCTTGTGTACAGTGCAGAAAAACTGTCTTGCATTTGCTTGATTTTTCTGTAGGTCATACCAAAAATTAGTGTCAACATTCTAGCCCTAGTAAGACCTCAGACTTGGGTTTGTCAGGTTACAGCCGTAAATGGAAACTATTTTAATAAATACATTTTAAAAATTTGCCCTTAATAGGGTATCTCTAGTACTTTGGCAATATAAACTACCTTCTCAGGAATATTTAACAAAAAGTGGAATGAACAGTTTTTGAAAATACCTTTATATTTGTGATGTGATTTTGGCCTCATTTTTGTAGTAACTGGAAGTCACACTATAACACAGACATGGTGAGCAGAATGTGTTTGTCACAGACAAACTGTCAAAACATACTAGGGAGGATAGAGAGGGGAATGAATATTATGTTTCAGGTACAAGTCCTTCTTTTAGTAAAGGATTCGACTTTTTTTAATGCCTACTGTGCCAGCTTTGTTCAAATCTTACACATCTATGTTGTACCTCAATCCCTGTCATTCCTGAACATTTTAGGAGTGATATGCAGTTAAAGCCACTGAGAACTAATCCTTTTCTCAGTTAATTAACTGCATGTAATTCTGTGATTTTTTTGTTCTGCAGCAGACATGCATAATCCCTCTCAGAAAGAATAAGCCTAAATTTTGCTAGTTCATCCCTGCATAGAAGAGAGGGTGAGATACTACAAGTGAAGGGCATAGATGGTATGTTAGAAACTGAAGTCATGCTATTATAGTTGCAGCTGAGCCAGATTCAGGATTTACCACCTGCTACCTCCCCAGCCTAGTTCTGCAAAACAATGAAATAGGTTTATACCCTGGTGAAGCTAATGTAGATCATTTTACCAGGAGTGAATTACAGAATGGGCTATTATACACACTTAAGCTGACAGTCTGAGGGAAGACTATTCTGGCTAAACTGCCACCAGAACAGCAGAGTTACCTGCTCCACTCAAGCTTGTGGGCACTTTGAGGCCCCTACTTTTCTTCTTTTCAAGGATGCACCTGTCAATCTGCATGGCTACAGGTGAGGGGAATCTAGAGCTGTTCTCTTCGACCCTGCAAGAGGATGTATGTGAGAAATGCCCCACGCTGTGAAATGGGGCCTGTACAGATGCTGGATGGGATGCCTGCAGCTACTGCTTTTACTAAACCAAAGCTGAAAGTTACAGCAAGGCCTTTTACAAACTAAGCTCTGAAGCTGACTGTTCTAGCTTTTATGCTGTTTTAAATCTTGTAACTAACTCAGTTGAAGTGATTTTAGTAATACCTAAGAACCTCAAGAGATGTTTCTGAAGAAAAGCTAACAGTTTGTTTTCGACAGTATCTATTATGTGTTTCAGAGGTTATTACTGAATTAAGGCCTCTTCCATGTTCTCAGCTAACTACCAATGGAATTCTGATTATCAGAACACCTTGCTGTGTCATTATATTTCTCTCTCTTCACCTGCCACCTCAAATGATCATGGTGAAAACACAAATGTGTCATATTTTGGTTTACAATGTTAACTCTACTTATAAGCTTGATCTTTGAAAACTTTTGGTTTAAATAGAAGTTCAGACTTTTGTGTTTAGTATTTTCATTACTATACTGAAATCACTGCTAGCACACTGGTTAAGCTGAAGTGAATCACTGTAGAAAATTAGTATACTAGCTTAGCTATCAAAATGCTAAGATTAATAGTTTTGTATGCAAATGAACTCAGTTTTGCACTGTAATCTTGTTTTGTGTTAACTTAATTTCTTGAAAGAATCACGACATTTATTCATTAAAACTATTCTAAAAGTTAAAACTTTGTTGTGTGATTGTATAGCTTGGTACTCAGCTAGTTCCATGCAGTTCTTGTTCAACATCCCACAGATGTAGTCTGGGATAATCAGTGTTCTTGTGCTCAGCTGCCAGGGGAGTTTATCACCCCTGCTATGGCCCCTGTTTAACTACAACAGCTCTGCACACAGAGAAACCTCTGAAACCATTATTTCCACTAGTCTCTGTCCTGAGAAAACTTCACAGGTGCAACTGTAGGCTAAAAGGGACAAGATAATATATAGCTGTATCAATATTCTGTGTTCTAGTGGAAAGCACTTACTTCCTTGACCGAATTAATGGAAACGTTTTACATGTGTGATCCTGAGCATTAGAGGATTCCATACTTCTAATTCCTTTCTGTTTTATCAGTAGGGCAGCATTCCTCTCTGGCTCAAGGTCTTTAAGTTTGGCATGCAACTCAAAGCTACTGGAAACAAAGTAAATCAGTTAAATCTTGACCAAAGAAGTTTCTTAATGCATAAAACTGAAATATAACCTCTTTAAAGAAGTAATTATTAACAAGGTTTTCAAACTTTATTTTGGAAATGCATAGTGTGCAGAAGCATTTCCACACAGTCCTTTTGCTGAAATTCTTAAGACATTTATACAAAAAAAATAAATAAATGTGAAACACCAACAGTGAAGTTCATTCATTTAATTAAAATGAAAAATAGTCCATAGATTTAAAGGAGAACTTGGTCCACATAAACAAGTTATTTAAGTTTTGTTCTAGTCCATTCTAGAGTGGAACTGATATTTAAACTAGTCTGTGTTTCTGGAATAATCTAATTTAAGGAAGTGTTCGTGTAATATCTCTAGAAAAAGTATGTAAATATATAAAACAGCAATTAATGTTCTAAACTATTTTGAGAATCAAATCCTCCTTTAAAGAGAAATAATCTGTAGTCTACAACTGAACATTTAAATACAATGCAAAAAC